TCATAGAACACTCTATTTCAAAGTGTCATTCCCAAGACTAACCTGTACTAAAAGGTTTAAATTATGAGGTGAAGATCCAATTATAAATTAAAATTTTGTTAAACACCTTTTCTGCATGTCTTTTTTTTTGTTTTACTTGGGCACTGCGAGATGGTACAGCTATGTTGGATATGCTTTAATTTAACACAACCATTATTTGCAGACAGTAGTATATTCTTTAAGGAATAATCCAGATTTCTGAAAACTACTACTTATGCTGTTTTCGAGATGCATTATAACAAATACTGTACTTATAAAACAATTCCCTGGTATTATATATGCCATACTGTAGGCCTATTTTACATTACTGCATTACTCAAATAACGGACCAGATTTAACGCTGCTTTTTATACAACTTTCAAAAACTATGCTGTACATAAACAGTGTCTAGGCATAGGGATATTATAAATTACAATACTAAACATTAGTTCATTAATTTTCACTATATCAACCACACTGTCTCGACTAACTACCAAGAGATTTTGGCCTACCTTGCTACAGTATACACCGTACAGCACCTTTCAAATCACAGACAATTTCATATTCCACAACAGTGAGGTGAAGTTGGCATGCATATTCATGTATATAAGTTCACCTGACTTAGAATAGCGCCCTCTCTAATTTCCGCCTTAAGTGTAAAAAATTGAGGCTTCATACACTACATGGCCAGTACCAATATATGCACAGTTTGTGTGTGTTAATAAACCTGTTCTACATAAAAAATACTGTACATATGAATATTTCAAGGCCCAACCTGTCTATTTAGAGGTTTACTATGCTTTGCTAATAAAAGTGCTTTATCTAGGAGTCTTGAAATGGTAGGGGACTCGATGATTAGGCGACTTAACTACTTGAACATAATTTTTAGCTCCAATGAGGAGCTCTAGAAACACTCGGCTAATTGATTAATATATCGACAGTATTTTAGATCTACAGCCTCTATAATACTACCCTCATGAGGCAGGCTGATGGATTAATAGTTGATCGGGGAGATCTAGAAACATTCAGCCCGGCCGATGGATTAATAGGTGTTTTTTAGCTCTACTGCCTCTATTATACTGCCCCCATGAGGAGCTCTAGAAACATTTGGCTGATTGAATAATAGTTGATTAATAGATCTTGCTTAACTCTGCTGCCTCTATTATACTGTCCTCATGAGGAGCTCTAGAAACACTCGTCAGATTGACTAATAGTTGGTTGATACTGCCTTCCCCTGAGCTTTTGAAACTACAAGAACTTCTTTTTTTACAAGCATTTTCTGTGGGGTGAGCGCACATAGATACACTTCTGTTTGCTAAGCATAGTGCAGTAATAAAGAACTGACCATTGCATCTACTAGACTGAAAGCATATAACATAATTCAAACATGTTTTGTTTTATTTATTATTTATTTTTTTTCAATATAACTAAATTATTCTTCACATTAATGAAGATTACAAGCAATTTGCAGACATTTAAATAAAATGTTTTTATTAAAACTTTCTTTAGAAGTAAACAAACTTGATAAGACCATTTCTACAACTCTGAAGATAAACCGTTAAAAAATTGTCAGAAATTGGTTGGAAACATTTGATGCAATCATAACACATCACAATTGAGCTTATTATTATTGATGATGAAGCACTCCTGTTCATTATTGCTCTAGGTATGAACATTTAATGGTATAGTAACCCTCCTTACTGCTCCAATAACAAAGAGATAAAAATCAAACATAAATACTGGGGGTGGGAAGTTGGAATCTATTAGGAGGAACTAAAAGGTAAAAAATACTAAACAATCACAACTACTCATGCCATAGATATATTGCGTATGGACTGCTATCTGGATGATTTCTTTGAGCAACTTTTGTTTTGTTAAGAGTGGGAAGGCAGGTAGTTGTGAAATTTGATTGCATCTGGTAGCTGAAGAGCAAGTCAATTTAGCTCTACAACTCATCATGAGGCTCAGCTTCATCCTCGTCTTCGGCAGCATCTGCCTCTCCATCTGCCATATCCTCATCATCCTCCTCTTCTTCATCGTCCTCATCTTCTTCTTCAGCTTTCTTCTTTGCTTCTTCTTCCTCCCTCTTTTTCTTTTCTTCTTCATCTTGTGCATCCTTCATCTTTTTCTCACCAGCCTACAAATTGGAAATACCATGGGAACTTTATTTTACTCATCATGATATTGATTTATTTTTCCAATAAAAATGCTTTGCCATGAAAACTCACAAGGAATAAAAAAACAAATAAATAAACAAAATTTATTAAAAAGCAACTTATTTGAATTTCAAATTGTATTGTTATAAGTATAATTATCAAATGGGAAACAAACCAATATACAATTCTGTAGTAAATTTGTACATGATCACAATACTACAAAGACTGTATTTTCCCAAAAAGTGGTCAACAGAATGATCATACACAGACTAGAATGACCAGAGAAATAAGCAACAGTGAAATGAAATAATGCAAGAC